TTTCTGTGCAGCATCTCTTGAATCTAGTCCATCCTTGTTTCAGAGAAAATTGAGGATGCCTTTTCTTTCTTTCTTATCTCTCTCTCTCTCTCTCTTTCTCTCTCTCTCTCTCTCTCTCTCTCTCTCTCTCTCTCCCTCTCTCTCTCTCCCTTTCTCTTTCTCTTTTCTTTTGAGACAGGATCTTGCTATGCACTTCAGCCCCGCTTTGAACTCACTATGTAGCCCAGGCTGGTCTCACACTTACAGTGATACTCCTCCTCAGCCTCCTGAGTCCTGGGACTGCAGGCATGTGCCACCACACCTGGCTATTGCCCTGTCTTTTCTGAATTGCCTATCTAGTATCCATTTCCTCTCTTCTTATCCCATTTACATATCAGAATTCCAGCTCAGATTCTTTTGTCTCCCTATATTGTCCTGGGCCTGCTTTGGCCCTCAGTAAGTGCTGCTATTCCTTTAACAACAAAATAGCAGCAGATATTTATTGAACACGTACTACTGTATCAGGCACACAAGGTTTAGGCATTATCTCCAAATTTCACATTCTTTTTTTTTTGCGGAACCGGGGATTGAACTTGCGCTTGCCAGGGAAACGCTTATTCCACTGATCCATCTCCTCAGCCCCAAAATTTCACATTCTTTTGAAGTAGATACAAGAAATTCTTGTGTGGGTTGGGGGTGGGGTAGGGGTAGGAATGGAGGTGTATACCAGGAATCAAACTCAGGACTCTATACTTGCCACTGAGCTGTACCCCCAGCCCAATAGAAACAATTCTTATTATTCACAGTAACTATGTCCTATGAAGTCACTATGAACATCAAATTCACAAATATTATTAGATTTCTGTGAGTCCTTGGTTATAACATTTTAATCAACCATTAACATATAACTTTATTTTATATGTGACTGTTCAACATTGACCTCCTAATAGCTAATAGTATTATAATTCATGCCTAAATGACGCTCTTCTGACACTTTCTCCATAAGGCAAATGACAGCCTTCTTGAATTTAGGAACACACAGCACAGGCATGCAGGCCATTTGGAATGGCAGTATTGTCACAGAAAGCACAAAATGTAAGGAAAAATATACTGCACTAAGTGGATTGTCAAAAAAGACATTCATTTAAGCATGAGAACTGAAAGAAGAAAGCAGCGTCACCTTGTGAGGCTTCAGCTGGAAATGTGCACATTCATGACTTTGTGTATGTCTACAAATGACTGTGAAAGCGTTGCAAGCACTTGTATTTTTTTTTTTTTTCACTGCTAGGACCAAACCTACAGCCTTGTACAAAGTTAAGCATAAGGAAGCCTTCTACACTCTCAGCCCAAGTTGCAAATATTGATTTGGGGGTTACAATAAATTTTAGCAAGTAGAAAATTTGTTGATATAGACTTGGTGAATAGCAAGGATTGACTGCATTATTATTGCCATTTCACCGATGAGGGATCCAAGGCTCAAGCTGTTTATGTGACTTCAAAGTTCAATATTTATTGTCAACTTTGTGGCAAGCATTTCTTTAGGCCTTGGGGTTGCAGACTTGCCCAAGGTCATGTACTAGAAAATGGTAGAATCAGGCAAGCACTTATTCTACTGAGCTATTTCCCTGATCCTAGAGTGGTAGAGTCAGTACTTCACCCAGTCATTTGACTCTAGAATCCAATA